GCTTTACAATGCACAGCAATAGCGTTGGGCGCATTTTCACAGAGGGACAGAAAAGCGCTAATTATTTGATTGGACGGACAACTACCATCAGGAAAATACAAATCAACATGGGCGAACCCAGCGTTGGTAAATCTCCTACTATCGTAACACTTCTTGTTCAGACGAACCACTAGAGATACACCAAATTCCTTGAAAACATCATAGTAGTCCTCGGGCATCAGGGTGAAGTAACCATTCGGATCTAGTCGCTCAGAATGGGGGCCAGCGAAGGCAAGAAACTTCCGTGGAATGATCCAGTTCAGATCACCATTATCGATCTTCTCGTAGTAATGATAATGATACTTGTCGAAGGTAGCCGGGTCATACCAGCCAAGGCACCATGCTCTGTGTAATCCTTCTAAACAGTCGACAATCTGACAAACACCGACCAAGTGAGAACTCATACTTCTACCTCATGCATCGTGTTCTACACAGAACTAAACACCACGTTCCTCGGCGCAAGACTATCGATTCACATGAGGTTCTTCAGTAGCGACTTACCATACACTTATAGGAGCATGGGCCGCTGGAGGCATCTCGGAAAGGCAGAAACGAGTTGAACCCAGCACTGACGACTTTCGCCAGAGCTTCCTTAGGCTTCAGATCGCAGTGGAGGACGAGGAAAGCACATGCCAGGAACACTGCGTTCGCACCTGATACGGAGAGTTCAACCAAAATACAGCTCGCATCATACGCTTCCTAGCATCGTTCGAGCAGTAATGCACAACTGGTCGATTGCCTTCCAGAAACGCTCGAACCTGTTCAAATGAAACCGGTCGGAGATTCCATCGTGAGGCGGGCGAAAAAAGGCTATACTTTTTCTGTGTAGGTGTGGACCATGCCAAGATTGACTGGTCCAAAGTCTGATGCAAACGGTTCATATTTGAGTTCATCGTCGATGGTGAAAACCTCGGGTTTGTTAGGCCCAGTACAAGCAGCGTTAACGCGCAGAGCAGGCCCGTCAGCCACTGTAAAGTAGAACTTATTCGGCAACAGCTCGGCAATCGGGAAGGGAGTTTGAATGCCAAGCGCTGATTTCAAAGAAGCCCGTCTCGACCGTTGGGAGGCAACACTGGAGATATCCGACGTTATTGAACTACTCCGCTTCCGTAGGAACGACATTAGGTGGGATTAACCCCTACAGTAGAGCTTGCAACAACGGTTGAAAATCATGCTGAAAGTTTCCTTATCAGAATATCGCTCGCTGATGAGAGATTTCAAACTATACCAAGTCAGTGAAGCGATGACTCCCTCCACGAGGCAACCGTGGGTGAAAACAAGACGATATTTTCTTTCCCCAATAGTAATCTTTCAACTGTATTCTTTTCACCTGCCAAACTGGGCAGGCGGATTGCCTGTATGAAATTTATACAGGGAGACGAACACTCTACCGGTATCCGCAGGGGCGTCGCCACGTAGTAG